TATCAACGAGACTTTTTGAAAAACCGTTAGAGACCGCAATTTGATAAATTATATTAAGTTCTTTTAAATAATTTTCTTTATTTAATGGAAGAGTGGACAGACGGTTAATGTAACAATAAAAAGCGGCTAATTTATGTTGCCATGGATGACACGATGATGCGGGGATGACCGTGTCGGTATGAGTTGGCTTTCGATAAATTTGAAAAACATGTAACGACTCTTTTCTTGTTATTGTTAAATCAAGGAAATTAAGGGAGCCATCTTGTTCCAATTCAAGCTTAAATTTAATTTTTTCGTGGACTCTATTTATTTTATTAAGGAAAACATCCAGTTGTCTCCTTGTGCCTGTCCAGCAAATAATTATGTCGTCTACATATCGATAATAGTATAAGATATTTTGGTTAACAACTATATGTTGTTTTTCGAAATCATCCATGAAAATGTCCGCCATAAGTGGACTTAAAGGGGACCCCATAGCTAACCCTTCTTTTTGTAGATAGAAACGGTTATTAAACCGGAAATAATTTTGTTTCATACAGAGAGAGGTTAAATTAAGAAGATCATTTGTTTCCTCGGGATGCAGACGACGTTTTTTAAAGAGATCTGAGAGTATACGCAAACAGTCAGGGAATGGGACGTTTGTGAAAAGACTATCAACGTCTAAAGACAACAACATAGATTTAGGTGTAATACGAATATCTTTTATTTTGGAAAATGTTATAAGGCCGCACCAGCCGGGTGGTACGCAATGCGACGAAATTATTGCGGCACAGTATTGCTAACAAAACGCAGTGTGTAAATTCGCTCTTTTTGTTTTTTATAAGTACATGAAGGTAAAATTATAGTAAATGTATAGCCTAAATTGATAAAATATGTAATGGAGCTATTGGTCCGCCGCGCCATTTCTTAGGTTGTTGGCGGATTGAGAATGATGATGAGGATTGAGAAATGTTTTCCCGAGAAATAGTGACACGGCCGGTGTATAAAGCATCACCAGGGCTGTCGTATGCATAACAATGAATGTTATTGGTTTGCAATATTTCATGGATGAAATAGCGTTGGAAATATCACGCAGCCTTCATATGGCTGACACTTGCGTTAATGAGCTTGTAATCAGAGCATGCACCGTTTTGATCATCCGGTACGCAAGAAAACTAGTGATCAAATTGCACAATTTCTCTATAAACTCATAGGAAGGACACTTCCATAGAATTGTTTTGTGCCAACAGGATGCCAAACGAACGACGGCCTTTGCTATTCGCTATTTCGCGAAACTGTCTTCAACGAGTTTGGGACTACGCTTAGGGAGTAAGGATACCGGAAAAGATGCGTTAAAACCGGTGCTAACTCCGGAACACACGTCTTCAGTATAATAGGTGAGTCTCCATCAGGCCCAATCAAATTGTAAACATTCCAGGAGAGGAGTGCTTTGTACACCGAGCTTTGTGTGAACGGCACATCTTGCATGGAGCACTCACACCGCGGGATAGTCGGCGGTGTGTTCCTCCCGTCATTGAAAGTCGAGATGGAGCAAAGAAGAGGCTTTCTCATTAGCGGCATGGGCCAGTGAGTTGTCCTTCCTGGGCAGAACGTACTGCGCGTTTCCATAATCACCTCCTCCAATGCACTTCACTTTTGCTCTAGTTCTAGTTCCTAGGCAATTGTTTTATTATCGTCTGAATCTACCAAAACTAGGGGGGACACACGGCGGCATCCACTCGCATTCTTACTCATAGCATTTTCATCGTATTAGGCAATAGCTTACGTCGTAGCCGTTTGAGTTCAATGCCATCAGATATGTTTGAGAAAGATCATGCTCCCGGTCCCCTGAGATCTATCCTAGTTAATGGCGTATCCCTGGGGTGGAGGTGAAGTGAGACTACTATATAATATCTATAGTATATTCTCGTATCACAGCGGATTCTTGTATCCGTGGCAAGACAGTAAAATTTAACAAACTACGGCCTTTAAGCAAATAAAGTTGGTCAAACCATATCGCGATACAATTACCGCACAATGCCATCTGTTTATCGATGACTAAATTATGCTGAACATACCGTCCCAAAAGGACAATAGTGGCGATTGTCCTTAATTTATTGACAGTCTGGTAACTATGATAAATTTGTTAAGAAATTTTTTTACAAACATAAAACATTAAATTGTACTCTAGAATTAGCAAACATTAACAACCAATATTTAAACAATAATAACTGCCACTAAAGTTTTAATTATAAAACTAATATAAGAATGATACTCATTTTTAAATTTAGCAGGAGAAATAAATCTAAGTTCAAAAACTTTGTTACTTTAACAACAAAACATAAGAAATTTCCCGAAAGTTTTACCAATTATGATTTTACAACCGATTGATAGGCGAGCGTAACTAAAAACGTTCCTTAAACACATAATCAACCCCGAGTTCACACTACGATCTAATAATCTACTTACTTTGTGACAGGCAAATATAATTTGATTACAATTTTTAGTATTTTTATATACGCCTCCTCCGTTTTATCTTACAATTTCTTTTGAACATATTATGATGTACTTTCTAATATTTTTATTCTACAGTTTTTAACAATTCCCTGCGCCCTTCTAAAAATTCATCCCATAAATTTTCTGTTAGACAAATCGTTTTCAAAATTAACAAATGAGTCCATTGTAACAACAAAAACTGAAACAAATACCTAATAACTAATTTTACATGAAAACTAGGAAAAACAAGCCTGTAACAACTCAATCCCAAACCCCAAATTATTTTATGTTAACAAACAGTGCAAAATTTTGGCATCGCTAATTAAAATATCTTTAGTACTATTTTAAGTTCACTATCAGATACATTAAATTGAACGAAAGATATACCGAACTCGATCTGCCAGGTTTTGCTCAAAGACGGTTATAGATGGCTTCAGCTCAGCAATAAGACGATGCATCTTAAATTGGTATTTAAAACCTCTAACTTCTCTCCGTTTTGCCCTAAAACACGCCCTAAATATGTTGCTATTCATCTGTATTGTCCATCGTATGTGGAATTTTCCACCAGTGGCGAGTATTGGTGGAGGATTCTACATACGATGTGATTTAGGATACGATTCCAGTACTGGGCCCACGAAGATCCTGCCAACAAAAATCCAGCTGTTGGAGATGACGGATGCGAGGGGCTGCTAGTTATTTGTCGTGGAGCACCTCGCGCTCAGCTGGCGGTTCGCATACTGTTGTGTCCAGCGCCAGTTCTTGCAGTGCCATGGCGAACTCCAGGCAGCGGCCTTTTGCGCGAATTTATAAATTTCGTCATCCAGACCCGACACCGTTGCATGGTGAGGCCATGTGCACGTGCTTTGTAATTCTTGCTTTCATTTTGCAGTGCTTTCTATTTTGCCGAGGCACGGCACAAACACCTCTTGGCAAAATGTTGACTGACTGCGCCATTGTAGCAATTTTGTCACAAAACTGTTACGACAGCAGGCGATGGTGTCGTCACTTCTCTACGCCTATTTTTAGTATTTATATTATGTATTTATATATTATTATTGTTATTATTTACGTATTCTTTTTTTCTTTCTCAAGATTTTGTAAAATATTGGTTTTTAAGAGATTTTCACGGGCCTAAGCCAAGTGCGCATCCATTTGGGAATCAAAATCCGAGATGTCTTCTTGCAAAAATTTTCGGACTATACGGCACGTGTTGAGGATGGCTGCTTTTTGCATGGTAATATAACTATTTTCAGGAAGATCTAATCGTTTAAGGGAGAGAGACAAACATTTCGGGATCACACCAGTACTGGAAAGAACCAGCGGTACAATATATACTTTGTTCATTTTACAGATTCTAATTACTTCTTCTTTTAATTCTGTGTATTTATGATTTTTTCAGTAATGGTTTTTGTATATTATGGGTATTTGGGATCGCTATATCAATTAGGTATACTGTTTTATATAATTTATCAATTAAATTCATATCCGGTCTATTGTAATGAATTGTTTTATCGGTAAGAATAGCTCTATCAAAGTACATTCTGTGACTGTCGCTCTCCAGAACAGATTTGGAGGTATACTGATAGTACAGCAGTAGTTTTTGGTTCGGGATCAAATTGTATTTATTTGCAAGTTTTTGATGAACGTAATTAGCAACCTGGTTATGACGGTGGGTGTAATCAGTTTGTACTAGGCTGGGACAAGCATCGGTAATATGTTGTATAGTCGGGTTCATGCCGCTCTTTTGTTTAAATTGTGAGGTGGCGACGTACTATCGCTGTCGTATCCAAAATTACGGCTTTTTGAATTTTGTTCCTCACCCTCACTGAAATGTCCATCTTAGCTAAATTGTCAGTAAGGGATTTAGGAACAACTCCCGTGGTAGAGAGAATCAGCGGGACGATAAGTACCTGCTGCTGTCGCCTTAACTGTCGGATTTCTTCAGCTAACCGCTGGTACTTAGTCAACTTTTCAGTGCTGTACTTCTGCACATTATGCGAGTTTGGAATGCCAATATCCAACAACCACGTCCGCTTCTCCCCCTTTTATACTAATATTATGTCCGGTCGATTATGCTCAACGGTCCGGTCAGTTAAAACTGACCTATCCCAATAAAGTTGGGCAGAATCATTCTCGAGTACCGGGGATGGATTGAATTTCCAGTAGGGTTCTGTCTCCTTAAGGAGACCGTATTTTACTGCCACCTCTTGGTGCACAATTTTTGCCACGTTGTCATAGCGCTGGGTGTACTCGGTTCCAACAAGAGCCTGGCAGCTGCCAGTTATGTGCTGGATGGTCTCTGGCTTTTGATGACACCGTCGGCACTGGTCATCTTCAATACCTGTCTTGACAATGTACTTAAGATAATTTTTCGTAGGCACAACCTGATCCTGAATCACTACCATGAATCCCTCAGTTTCTGCAAAGATCTCACCATGTCTGAGCCAGTTGTTCGACGCTTCAATGTCGACATGTGGTTGACTCAGTTCATTAGCGAATCGACCGTGAAGAGGTTTTGAGGCCCATTACTGGAGTTTGGCTTCTTTGTATTCAGCGTCAGTCTCTAACGGTGGGTAATTGTCGGCATGAAGGAGATCGAGCGTTGTTAGACGGTCATCAGCCTTTATTACTGCTTGATGCAGGGGAGAGGCCGTTTGCGAAAGGAAATAACTTCGAAGACTCCGAATCTGTTTAACACACAATCTACGAATATCTATCAGTCTTCTACCGCCATTGGCTCGAGATAGAGTTACCCGCTCAACGGCTGATTTTGGGTGATGTATAAGATATTTAGTAAGTATGACGTGAGTAGATCTCTCAATTTTTGCCAGTTCAGTATCTGACCAGTTAACTACTCCAAAGGTGTAAGTTAATGCTGGCATGGCAAATGTGTTAATTGCTTTAGTGAGGTTGTGTCCATTTAGGCCTGAACTGAGGATTCTTTTAAGCCCTTGATTGTATACTTCAGTGATCTTCGATCTAATTTCATCGTGATTGATTCGAAGTGATTGGGTGATGCCCAGATATTTATAGGTGTCATTTTCTGTCATCGCGTCGATCTTTCCACCTCTCTGAAGGTCGAAACCTCTAGATGACTCAATTCGTCTATGGTAAACATTTACAGTTCTGCACTTTTCAAGTCCAAATGACATATTAATATCACTAGAGAACTGTTCAGTGCAGTGAAGCAGCGTTTGGAGCTCTCGTTCATTTGCCGCATAGATCTTAATATCGTCCATATACATTAGGTGAGTCAGCTTTCGGTGATATCCCTGAGCCCCTTTTATAAGATATCCATGTCCTGTTTCATTAAGGAGTGAAGAGAGGGGGTTGAGTGCAAGGCAGAACCATAAAGGGCTAAGGCTGTCTCCTTGAAAGATTCCTCTTCGTATTGGTATGTACCCTGTTGTGATCTTCTGGTTAACGCCATGGTTCAGATGAAGAGAAGTTGCCCAATTTGTCGTAAAGTATTGTAGTAGAGTGATAACTTCAGGGTCGATCCTATAAAGTTTGAGTACCTCCCTCAACCAGGAATGCGGCACGGAGTTGAAAGCTTTCCTGTAATCAATGTAGGCCATGTGGAGTTTCCGCGACTTTTGATACGCTTGCCCCGTGATAACTGAATCTATCGTGAGTTGTTCTTTGCATCCCAGTGATCTTTTAATGCACCCTTTCTGCCCTGTTGCCAGAAGAGAGTGATGGTCGAGATGTTGGTAGATCTTGTTAGACAGGCAAGAGGTCAATGTTTTATAAAAAGAGCTGAAGCATGTGATCGGACGGTATTTCGCAGGGTCCTGCGTATTTGGGAAGTAGATATGTTATTCCAACGGTTAGATAGGAAGGCACTAGTTGGGGGTCGCGTAGGAAGGAAGTAAAGCACGCCGCCATTGGTTTGTGCAGAACAATAAGCTTCTTAAGCCAAAAATTGTGGATCTTATCGGGTCCCGTGGCTTTCCAGTTGGGGGATTTGTACACCGCTTGAGTGACATCCTCTTCAGTAATTTCCACATGTTGCATTTCTGGGACCTCAAGTATACGCTGTTCTTCTCTTGTGATCCATGTGTGGCTCACCTTCTCTGACCAGATGCTACGCCAGAATTTCTCAACTTCCTCTTTCCGCGGGGGTAGTCCACTCGTATCATTAACGCTCTGTTGGAGTCGCCGATAGAACAGCTTTTCATTTTTTGTGAAAAGAGCGTTGTCTTCTCTTCTCTTCCGCGATTTTCAGTACCTTTTTAGTCGGTTGGATTTGACTGCTAGTTTTTGTCGAAGAGTATCTAAGATGTCCACAGCTGTTCTGTTTGGTGGGTCATACTTCGTGTACTTAGATATATCCTTCTGAAGCTCATGATATGTGGCTACAACTTTTTTACTTCTATTGCCACGCATATACTGCGTTAGACGACCTAATTGAGTAGAAACCCGCACTGTAGAATCACCAATTTTCCCGCCAATTGATCGAAATATCGCTACACCTGCCGCACATGTGGTCGTATGAATTGCGTCAAATGTATTTTCAACTTGCGCTAGATGTTCAGAAATTATGATAGCGTTCATCAAAATGACCACGACTGCCAATTTTTTGAATTATTTTGGCGCCCAATGGTAGGTCTTAATAAGGGGTTAGTATCCAAGAACTCAATTAAGGCTTTTTCAAATTCTTCTCTAAGGATTCGTAAAGTTTCGTTCTCTACCATTTGTTCCCTTCGTTCTTCGTAAGGTGCGGTGCTTAGTTCAGTAAGTGAATCCGGAATAATTTCTGATGAAGCATCTACGGTAGCCTCTTGGGCACTAATATCTTCAGATACATCACGACCAGGATAGAGTTCTTTAGCAACTTCTGCTTTGAGTTGCTCCAGCCTTTCCGTCGCAATCTTGCAGGTACGTAGAATCTGACGTTTCTGGTCCATGACTCTTTATTCTGTCACTCTTTCAAGGAGTTTCGGATATTTCAGAACAAATTGTCGATACATCTCGGCCCTATGTCTTATCAGATGTTCTTCCAATCTGGTTGCTTTATAGTAACAGCGTATGACATCTTCATTCATTTGTACATTCACGTCAAACGCTGTCGAGGGAGACCCGCCTTATTGGTCATGGGTTGTGAGCCACTAGAAGCACTTAAGACGGGGGGATGACTGAGAGGGGGGTGAAGGATTGTTTGGAGGGGGAGGGGAGTCAAGGATGTCAGCAGTAGTATTTTGATTGACCGCAGCCTGCTGATGTACGACGGCCACTGATGGTTCGCATGCTGCCACGTCCAGCGCTAGCTCCAGACGTGCCCCGGCGACACCCGGGTAGCGGCTTTAATCGCTTATTTCCGTGATCCATTCTCTATATAGGGTTAGACTAATACAACGGGGAGTGCCAAATTCCCCGAGGATACCGTTGGTTTACAAAGCTTAATTTTTTAGAACCTAAGCTTAGCTGCCACCAAACACGGTACAACATTCTTCAGCGGAGGGTACAGACTGATTGCAGCAGTGAAAATCAATAATGTTTAAAGAATAAAGAAGATTGACTTTCACTACTCGGCGGTGGGGTCGTCACATCCCAACGCCTTATTATTATTATATATTTATTTTACAGGATCAAAGGAATAAAACAGAGCATTCGACCATTAAGTCTTGTTCTCTTTTTCTGAAACTACTTAATACAAATGTCGTGTTATAATTAAACAAATTTGAAATATTTATAATTAAAATTTAACAAATTTGTGATGTCTGCTATTCTAATTCTAATTCGGTATGCGTGACATGGCGATATGATTAATTCCCATTGATTTTTTAGAGGGCCAACAAACTCCACAACTTTAAAATTTAAAGCCATACCATAATAAGTAACACAAATTTTTAACATTGAGAAAGGACGGTTCCGTCGTACAGTGGATAATCTTTTGGTCGTGCAGCAGCACAGCCGTGGGATTGAAACCCGGATGGAACAAGTGCTTGAATCGGTAAAAAGAAAAAAAATCTATTATGGTGTAACATTTTTAAATTAAAAAATAATTAAACAAAAATACTTTTAATACTTTTACTTTTCCCGCTAAGAAAAATTTAAAATTTTCAAAAAATAGGGAAGTTATTGGTTTCACCCCCGATTTTCGTAAAATCGAGTTTTCATCAGATCTCGACGTTTTGAGATCCCAGGAAGCTATTCTGACTAATTTCACGTGGACGTCCGTACGGATGTACGTAGGTATGTATGTCTGTGTATGTGTGTATGTGTATGTGTGTGTGTAAGTATGTAAACCTTTCATAACTTTTGAACGTCTTGATCCATTGAGATGCGGCGTTCTAAAGATATCAATGTGGAATAGATTTGGTAATAATATCAACTGAATCGGACGAGTAGACTTTTGAGAAATCTTAAAAATAAAAATTTTGAAAAACTGTTCTTTGGAATAACTTATAAACGGCTATCGATTTCAAAAACTAACCAGCTTGACCTCAAAAAATGACGTCGAATACCATTTGGAAAATAAAAATCGGTTCATTCGTTTGTGAGATATCGAAGGAGAAAGAATTTGAAAAAAACGTTTTTTTTTTTTTAACATAACTTCCAGATTTCGCATCATAATTTAGTGAAACTTGGAGTGCTTTGCATTTGAGTGGCCTGCAGGGTCAACTTTTTTTTTGTGGAATGTGACATCACCAGCGACTTTTTCGGATCGCTAAAACTTTCTTCCGAGCTGTAAACAAAAAGCCTATTCCTTTTAAAAGGCTGACAACTCATCTGCAACTCCACGATTGTTGAAGTTTTTTATGGATAGCTGTAGTCACTTACTATTACGTGAGCCGCATGACCATTTACACTCTTTTATTTATAAAAAAGTTTGTAGTATGACACTAAAAACTTGAGATTGCAACAGAATGCTGGTCTAAGAGAGACTAATAAATTTATTAACTAATGTTAATTTTAAAACTACGGGTAATACACGAAGGACGTTTTAAAAAGTGTAATATGCTACTATTGCCTAGAAATTAAAAAAAGTGGTTACTGACTGGAAAGCTGAAATATCTGTTAAATACCTTTGTGCAGTCCAAACACCATACACTTAATTTATGCTGACACGGTTCGAATCGCCGCGCCACGATTTACTTACAATGCATCATTTTATAATTAAACTTATTGTGGGAATAAACTGTTAAAGTAAAATACGCGTGCATTATACGCGGTCTTAAGCTAACTTCAAACTACATATACTGTAAACTAATTGAACAATTGAAGAAGGTCTACACGCAGCAAACTGTGGCCAGTACAACCTTTAAAAGCAAATTGCCTCGGCTCTACTGCGGAAGAACAACACTCTCTTAGAGTACCAGCTAAAAATAGCAGTGTAATTCTTCTGTATTTTATATTGTGAGTGTAGAGAACTTATGACTCTTTTTACTGAAACGAGGCGTTCTCCCTTAGTCCCCTCCCAGAGATAACAACTGAATTTTGAATGTGAGAAGAGTCTCCGGTTCTCTACACTCACCATACGAAATACAGCAGTATAAAGCTGCTATTTCACGCTGGTTCTCAGTTCTCTCGGGAAAGATCAGCCTCTTACTAATATTAAATTTTGGTTTAAATTTAGTTTGGTAGGTTTTTGTATGTTTTCATAGAATTATTTTTGTACGAAACCATTACCGATGCTTTTGAGTAATGTATTTTTATTTCTAAGAGACATTAATTCATATAACCGAAATGTAAAAACCTCGGAAAAAATTGGTTAAAAAGAGGGATGTTGTAAAACTTAAGCAATTATTTTTATTAAATGAGTGTTGATAATTCGAGAAAAAAATAGGAGGCAAAAAGCGGTGTCATCATCATCATCATCATTACAGCCCCTCACAAGTCCACTTCAGAACATAGGCCTCCTCCAAGGGACGCCACAAAGCACGGTCTGGAGCCACCTGCATCCATCGACTTCCTGCCAGGTCGTCACTCCGTCTAGTGGAGGGTCACCCTACACTACGCCTACCGGTATGAGGCTGCCACTCGAGAACCTTTCTTCCCCATCGGTTATCGGTTCTTCGAGCTATATGGCCGGCCCATTGCCACTTCAGCTTACTAATCCGTTGGGCTATGTCGGTCACTCTGGTTTTACTGCGGATATTCTCATTTCTGAGTCTATCACGCAGTGAAACTCCGAGCATAGCCCTCTCCATAGCTCGCTGAGCGACCTTGAGCGTCCTCATACGGCCAGCGCTGAAGGACCACGTCTCAGATCCGTAAGTCATCACTGGCAACACGCACTGGTTATACACTTTAGTTTTCAGAGATTGAGGTATAAGTGAATACGTTAGTGTAATATAAGTGTAATAAGGTAGGAAGTGTCGTAATTTCCCGAACGCTGCCCAGCCGAGTTGAATCCGTCGATTGACCTCTCGGTCGAAGTTGGACTTACCTAGTCGGACTATTTGTCCCAGGTAAATGTACTCGTCAACAACTTCGAGCATAGTGCTCCCAACAACTACCGGCATAGGTGTGACATGGACATTAAACATGATCTTTGTTTTGTCCATGTTCATCTTAAGACCTATCCGTTGGGAGACATCACTGAGGTCATTGAGCATAGTGCTAAGGTCCTCCAGCGATTCTGCCATAAAGGACTATATCGTCGGCAAATCGAAGGTGAGTGATGTACTCGCCATTGATGTTAATACCATATCCTTTCCAGTCCAGTAGCTTGAAAACGTCTTCCAACACAGCGGTGAAGAGTTTCGGGGATATAACATCACCCTGTCATACACCTCTCTGCAGTTGGATAGGTTTCATACTCTGGTTCTGTACTCGGATATCCATCGTAGCTCTACTGTACAAACACTTCAGCACTTCAATATACCGACAGTCAACTAGGCACCGCTGAAGAGACTGTAGCAACGCCCAAATTTCGACGGAATCAAAGGCTTTCTCATAGTCCACATACGCCAGGTAAAGTGGCAGATTGTACTCTTCGGACTTCTGTACAATTTGCCGCAGGGTATGTATGTGGTCTATGGTACTGAAGCCTTGTCGGAAACCGGCTTGTTCGGGAGGCTGGAAGTCGTCGAGTCTGCGTGCGAGACGATTCGTAATGACTCTCGAAAACAGCACGTAGACGCGGCTCAGAAGGGAAATCGGTCTGTAGTTCTTCAAGAGAGCGTTGTCGCCTTTCTTAAAGAACAAGATCACCGCGCTTCTGCTCCACGCCTCCGGAGTAGTGCCACCATCGGGGACGGAATTGAAGAGCTTCTGAAGGACTTCAAGTACCAGTGTTCCACCCGCTTTCAGAAGCTCCGCTGTAATTCCATCCTCGCCCGGGGCCTTGCCGTTTTTAAGGTGGTGGAGAGCCATTCTAATCTCGCTCAGACTGACGTCCGGGATATCATCGGAATAGTGTCGGATAAGACTTGCTCTTGGATCGTTACTCACACTTGCGTGTGGCTCCAACGATGATGTGTACAGCTGCCCATAGAACCTCTCAATCTCACTCAGAATCTCAGGTGTCCCGGAAACGGTGTTGCCACACTCAGTCTTCAGCCTTGACAGTTGGCTCTTTCTGGAAGACAGATCTCTGGCAAAGACTTTGGAGCCCTGGTTCCGCTCGATCGCTTCTTTAATACGAGCAGTATTAAAGTTGCGTAAGTCTCGCCGCATGCATTTGGAGATCTGTCTGTTCAGTTGCCTGTATGCTGACAAATCTGTTGACGATTGCAGCCTCATCTCCCGTCTAACAGCCATGAGATTAAGAGTGTGATCGGAGTGTTTTTGTGTTCTTCGAGAGTTCTTCGAGAAAGCGGTGTAGGTGAGCAAAACTGCGAGTCAAACCTCCTTATATTCTGATTGCCTAGTACTAATCCCCCTTCTGCGGACATATTTTATGTCGTCATCGACCTACCTGCGTATGTGCTTAGCCTATCTGCATACGCACTTTTCGGCC